GCAGGGGGGTTGGACTAGATGACTCACAGAGGTCCCTTCCAACCCCCAACATTCTGTGAACAGCCATCACGAGTGCCTTGGGAGACAGAGAGAATTGGAGACAGATACCTCTGTATTTCAATTTAGCTAATGGTTCTAATTTTACTTCTCAGAAGGGCTGTCAGATGAAAGCAAACAACCCTTCACACCACTTAAACTGCCCTGCAGAGAAATGCAGAGCTGAATTCTCAAGACAAATGAAACTGTGGATAATGGTAACAGAGTACCAAGAAAAATAAAATTTCAAAAACCTCTCAGTTTGCCAGCGAGGTCATGAGTTTAGAGCAGGGATGAATTATCAGGTGACAGTGTTGTTTATTATTTTCATTCTGGCAGCATTCAGAGGACAAGACTGAACTTAGCAGAGCTCCAAGGCTTCCCCTATTTCTGCGTGCAGCCTTGCAGCGCAGAACCTATCCCCAAATCCAGGCTGATACCCGTCCCTCTGCCAGTGCTCTGGGTATAGCCACAGGTTAACGAGATCTCCAAACCTCAAAACTTTGATCTGAGGAACAACAAGAGCACACCTTATGCAACGGTTTTCAGACTGCTAATGGCAAGTACTTTTATAACCTCTTAATAACAGTTCGTTACACTTCAAAAAAGAAAAGTCGAATATAATGTATTTATACCCTTTTGTCCTATCCCATGGATTAAGCATGTTCTGCCTTGACACAACTCTTACAAACTATGTAAGCAATTAAAACTTTTTTAATGCAGATATACTTTACTCACTCTGGAGCTAAAATCTACAGTCACAACATTTAATTATCTTGAAAGAATATGCATCCTCCTTCCAACTTACTTTTTTTTTTTTCTCAATAACTTGCAGAGTATCTAGGGCCACAGATAAATATATTTACTAATGGAAAGCAAATCTGTTAAAAAATCCTGCTATTTTTTCCCAGCAGGTAAGTACAAAAGAACTTCAATTATGGAAACAGGAATCCATGTCCTTTCATTATGTCTGGAGAGCACTTCATCTCTGCCACACTTTATAGAAATCCATTATGCAACATTATGCATTTCACATAATAACATTTTATCTGCTCACGGATTTAATGAATTTCTTCTAGTATGTTTACTTTTATTAACTTATTTTCAACTAAAAAGGAACAGAGCAAAGTAGTCATCCAACATTTTTCAACAAAGTGTGCAAGGACAAATGATGAGACCTCTGCCTACAACACCACACCACAGCAAGTCCCACTGTGTCTAAAGCTGCTGCTATGTGGAAACGCTACATTGGAGTATTTCCATACAAATAAAAGCACAAGCATCCAAACAACTGGTAAACAACTATTTCCAAAATAAGTACCCTTAGTGGTCTCATGCCAGTAATTCACCTGGAATGTTCAAACTCACATTTCATGCACAGAATGGAAGGTCATTTTGAAATGCTCTGCTCACCTCACTCATTTATTAAAGCAGATGATAAAAACCTAATAAATCTACCTGCAAAGTGTCCCTGTCACTCAGAAACACATTTCAGCATAGATCACCAAGGAGATGAGATTGTTTTAAAGTAGTAATTCTAAAACAATTTCAGATCAACTCTGAGCAGTATTTTAAGAGAGAAAAAACAATAGCGTATTTGTAATCGTGATGAGAAATTCTTGTAACCTCATTTTCCTCAATGTAAAACAAAGATGATGAAAACACAGGCCAAGGGTTGGATTCCTCGACTCTAAGCCAAGGTTAATTATTTAAGGTAACTTCACAGATCACTAATAGGGAAGCAAAGCACCATCTTTGCACTATTATGCATCCCGTGCTTAGAGCTGCACCCAAACTAGGTTGAGTAAACCTCTTTCTACAGGTCCCTTGCTCTTGCCAGTGACAACTCAGGGAGACCCAGACGCATAGTTTTGATCAGATGTCCAATTTAGGTGGCTGTGGCTAGGCAGAATGAGTTGCTTTTCTGCTCTTATGTTCAGCCTTTACTGTATGAAGACATGACAGGCTAGGATAGTTAGCAAGTTTCAAGTAATAACAGAAAACAGAAATTTTGTATTTTTTATAAGAAAAAGCAAAGGCTAGAGGAATGGTCAAACCACAGGTTCAGTTATAGCAGTGTCCAAAAACACCTGAAAGCAAACATTCTGCAACAAATAGATCATCTGCTTCTCAGGGTATAAGCTGAAGAGTTACTGTGTATGTAGCTTCAATCTCTACAATGACACGTCAAAAACAGTGCAATGAAGAAAGTAACTTCTTACACAGAACAGCCTTCAAATACATCTTCACAGAGCTGGGAGAACGAAACCATGCTCATTGAGCTGACCATTCTAAAAGGATGTCGTCAAAAGTTTCCATTTCCAAGATAGAAACACAAGAAGAAAAGAAAAAAAAAAAATCAGGTGATCCACACACTTTAATCCACGTGAAAGCTCAACTAAGACGGAGGAAAGCTTCAGGCCCTTCACATCAGAAGACTTTCCATTATGCCGCAGTCTGAAGGTGTGACAGCCTTGCACATACATCAGTGTGTAAGACACCCAATTTACATTTCCACCTCAGAGTTTCTCATGTCACGGAGACACCAGCCATCGTGTGACCTATCACAGCTTTCATAACACCCTCGAGGGTGGACATACACTGCTAACAAAAGCAGTCAGCTTTCCAAGATTTCTCTGCTGACACAACAGAATAACAGTTCTGCAGATGGGCAAACCAAGAGGGTTGGGTCTCTTTCAAGCCACACAGCAAATACAGCAAAGCAAACAACTCCAAGGACAACACCACCATGGAGCACAGAGCACCCAGAACCTGACCTGCCTCAGCGAGAGCAGCCAGAGGAGCCATCAAGCACCTCACACACAATCTCAGTGCACAAAGGGACACCAGAGCACTATGGGAGGACTTCGGGGACAGAGTCGACAAAGCAACCCCACCGCTCAAGCTGCAGCCAGCTGCGTGCTGGAAGCCATATCAAAGCTCGATGGTTGCACAGAAATGTAAGCGCTAGATGGTGGCTGTAAAACCTCCATGGACAAACAGAGCAGCTCCCTGCCGCAGGCTGCAAGGACTTCTGGGGAGACAACGGACTGGGTCCGGGGTGCTTCCCAAACTACTTCCATCTCTACTCATCCGCAAGCATCTAAAAGCACCAGATCTTTGAGGATATTTTTACATTTATAAAATATGGCTGTTCAGAAAAGTAGAGACATGTTATCTCAAAAAATGAGGGCCAGTCTGGGAAGGCAGAGCCAGACGAAAAATCTGATGGAACAGTCAGCTGCTTCTCTGACTAAGCACCTGAGGAATTACCTGTCTGTGCATTCTCCGGGAAGAAAACATGAGAGACAGAGGAAAAAAGACACCCATAAACTGGAATCTCAGATTGAAATATTGCAGTAGAGGGGTACTCCAGGGAGCCTATTACCATTAATAAAAAAGGAATGTGCAACGGACACAGACCTAAAGGAAAAAAAAAAAATCTGGTAACCTCTAATTGTGTGAAGTTATATCAACATAAATTTAAGGCAGCCCCTTGAAACTAAATGAAGCTATTCTGTTGTAGCATAAACCAGTTTGAAAGCCCAGCACTGCAGAAGCAGGTGTCAAGTTGGTTATCTATATTTGAAAAAAAAAAAGTTTTCAGGCTCATCTACACCCACATCCAGACACATGTTAACACTGATGTTCACAGAAGTGTTTCAGCAGCAATGAACATGAGGAAACAAGCTGTTCTCTTTCTGAGGTTGGATCTTCTGAGAGTGGACTTTCCTTCTGTCAACAGAAATAAAACAAGTGTTGCTTACTTTACCCAAAATTGAAACATGAGCATAAGGGTGTAATGTTCAGAAAGTAAAACAAGGTCAGGCTGAATGTTCATGAAAATCATCTATAAACATTCAGGCAGCGTTCTGAAAAAAAAATATTTAAAAGAAGTTCCTTAGTGTCAAACAGTAATCACTTTTCTCCTGCAAAAATACACACAGTATTTAATTCCAAAGTTAGAAAGTTACCTGGAGATCTGCCAAAGAACACAGAAATGCTATTAAAATAAAGCCCAGCATAACACTCACAATCTTTAGTGGATATTCTTCCAGTTAGATGACACCTAACAGCTCTTGTCTTACCGCTGTCGTGCCCAGGTGCAGGCCTGATCCCGCCACTAATACTCATGCTCATCTTGGGGATCCCTGGGGAGCCACACTAACCTGGGAACAATGTCACTGCTCCATGTAAAAGCAGCAGAATTAGTCCCTCCATTTCTGTCCAGCATTAATTTCATTGCTGAACACTCCAA